AAATTCAGAATCATTAGAACTCAGTAACTCAGTGTTTGATAAGGGGGAAAACAAACTACTTAGGGTAAAACTCCTTATTTGATTAAAAAACTGCTGAGAAAGCTGGGAAAGTCAGGAAGGAAATTAAGATTAGACCAACATGTTACACCACAAGACATTCTATATGGATGTTAATGTTGCTGTTCATTTGTTTCAGTTATGTCTGACCCTCCATGACCCCAACTGCTATTTTCTTGGCAAAGAAATTATCAGGGAAAACTGCTCTGATATCTAGAGCCAGAGGGTAAAACAGAAATTGGAAGAATCCACCAATCACCTTCTTAAAAAGATCCCACAATGAAAACTCTCAGGAATATTATAGCCAAATTCCAGAGCTCCCAGGTCAAGGGGAAAAGAATGCAAGCAGCCAGAAAGAAGCAATACAAATCTCATGGAGCCACAGTCAGGATAACACAAAATTAAGCGGCTTTTACATTACAAAAAAAAAAATCAGAGGGTGTGGAATGATATTCAGCAAAACAAATTAACTAGGATGACAACCAAGCATCACATACCTAGAAAAACTGAGTAAAATCCTTCAGGAGCAAAAATGGACATCCAATAAATGGAGGATAATCAAGCTTTTGTAATGAAAAGACCAGTGCTGAACAAAAACTCTTCAAATGTAATACCCAAGAGAAGCATCAAAAGGTAAACAGGAAAGAGAAAACAGAAGAGATTCAATAAGATTCAATTCTTTATATTCCTATATGGGAGATGCTACCTGAAACTCTTAAGACCTTTCTGACTATTAGGGCAATTAGAAGGAGGATACATTGCCAGCATACACTGACTGTGATGGGATGATATTCAAGAAAACAAAAGTAAGGGGTGAGAAAGAGAACTGAATTCTAAGAAGAGGGAAGGAAGAAGTAAAGGGATTAAATTATCTCCCATAAAAGAGGAAAAGAAGAGTTATTACAGTGAAGGGGAAGATGGGGAATGTTGGAAGGAAGGGCTTGAACCTTACTCTTACCAAAATTGGCTGAAACAGAGAAAAGAATACATGCTCAGCTGGGTATAGAAATCTGTCTCATCCTATTGAGAAAGAGAAAGGGGCAGTGATATGGTGAGTGTAGACTGATAGAAAGAAGGGCAGATTGGGGGAGGTATTCATCTGGAGAAAACACTGGTGAGGAGAGATAGGTAAAAGGTGAGAGGGTGTGTGTGTGTGTGTGTGTGTGTGTGTGTGAGAGAGAGAGAGAGAGAGAGAGAGAGAGAGAGAGAGAGAGAGAGAGAGAGAGAGAGAAGGATAAATAGGAGAAATTGGATGAAGGGAAATACAGTTATCATAACTGTAAATATGAAAAGAATGAACTCACCCATAAATGGAAGTGAATGGTAGAATGAATTAAAAACCAGAATCCTACAATAAACCATTTACAAGAAACATATTTGAAGCAGAGACACATGCAGAGTAAAGCATCTATTATGTTTCAGCTGAAGTAAAAAAAAAAGAGGGGTAACAATGATCATCGCAGACAAAGCAAAAGCAAAAATATATCTAATTAAAAGACATAAGGAAGGAAACTATATCTTGCTAAAAGATGTCACAAACAATGAAATGTTGTCAACACTAAATACTTATGCACCAAATGGTGTAGTATGGAAGTTTTGAAAGGACAACTTAAATGAGTTACAGGGAAATAGACAATAAAACTATACTAGTGGGGAATCTCAAGCTTCCCTCTCAGAACTAGATAAATCTAACTAAAAAATAAAGAAAGAAGTTAAGCAGGTAAATAAATTGTAGAAAAGTTAGATTGCTAGATTTTAGAGAAAACTGAATGAGAATAAAAAGGAATATACCTTTTTCTCAGCTGTACATAGCATTTGTACAAAAACTACCCATGGATTAGATCATAAAAACCTCATAATCAAATGCAGAAAACCAGAAATATGAAATGCAGCTTATTCAGTTCAATCTGCAGTAAAAATCACATTCAATAAATGGCAGTGAAAAAGATTTAAAAAATTAAGTCAAAACATTCATCTAATCCTAAAGAATAAATGCATTAAAGAACAAATCATAAAAATCATAATTTCATTAAAGAGAATAACAACAAAGAGATGACATAACATTCATAGGATGCAGCCAAAGCTGTACTTGGGGGAAGTTTTATATATATCTATCTAAACACTTCCATGAATCATATAAAGAAAGAACAGATCAATGAACTGGACATGTAATTAAAAAAAGAACAAATTGAAAACTCCTACTAATTATATACCAAATTGGAAATTCTGAAAATCAAAGAAAAATTAATAAAATTGAAAGTAAGAAAACCAGTGAACTAATAAATAAAACTAGCAGCTGGTTTTTATAAAAAAGCCAATAAAAAAGATAAACTATTGGCTAATTAGATTTAAAAAAAAAGAACAGAAAACCAAATTCCTAGTATCAAAAGTGAAAGGAATGAAGAGAAAATTAAAACAATTACTAAGATCAATTTTGCCCAAATATATGCCAACAAATCTGAAAATCTAAATGAAGTAAATGAATATATATAAAAATCTAAATTGCCCAGATTAACAGAAGGGAAAATAGAATGCTTGAATAACCCAATTTTAGAAAAGGAAATTGAACAAACTTTCAATGAACTCCATAAGGAAAAAATTTCCTAGAGTCACAAGTAAATTCTACCAAACATTTAAAAAACAATGAATTCCAATACTAAATAAAGTATTTGGAAATATAGGCAAAGAAAGATTCCTTTTATCACACAAAAATATTGCTAAGACTGTCTGCCCCCGCACAAGTCACTTAAACCCAAGTGGCTCACCAAAAAACAAAAAGTTGCGAAGACCGAAATCAGGAAGAAGGAAAACAAAAGGAAAGTGTAGACTCTCAATCCATGAATGCCAAAGATAACTTAGAACGTCAGTGGGAAAAGTCTGTTTCTGTGATGCTGAGAGAGGAGAGCGGGGTCTGAGCTCCAGTTCTCCAAGAGCACAGCCCTGGGGGCGGCAGCTGCCTCCTGAGTTTCTAGCCCACAGACAGAGGGGGAAACCAGTGGCTGGTCAGAGAGGGATTGCAGGGATCTCTTTGCCAGTGCTGAGGCAGGAATCTCTTGCTTTGCCTCTGCTTAGATCTGGGTCACAGTTCTGGGTGATGGTCCTGGGATGAGGAGGAGCACTGACATGGTGAAGCTTGTAGTGGCTGTGTAGATGAAACCCTCCTCACAGTTCCAGGACAGAAAGGAGTGCTTGTGGTCACTAATAGACCAGAGCACAGGCTAGGAAAGGAGTAAACACCTCTCCCCTTATCATACCACCTTGGAAGAACTGAAAATTTAAGGGTCCCTACAAGTATCTCTGAAAGCAGTTGTACAAACCCCTGAAGCTTAGGACAGTACATTCTCCACATTGGAGGCAGACTTTTACCTTAACAAAGAGTTTAAAACTCAAGTAACTGGCCAGGATCATGAGCAAGCAGCTCAAAAGAGTCAGACTATATTATCTTACTCTGGTGACAAAGAAGATCAAAATATGCACCCAGAAGAAGACAGCAAAGTCAAAGCTCCTGCATCGAAAGCCTCCACGAAAAATATGAGTCAATCCCAGGTCTTGGAAGAGCTCAAAAGGGATTTTAAGAAGCAAGTAAGAGAAGTAGAGGAAAAACTGGGAAGAGAAATGAGAGTGATGCAAGAAAATCATGAAAAACAAGTCAACAGCTTGCTAAAGGACACCCAAAAAATACTGAAGAAAATAACATCTTAAAAAATAGAGTTGTAAACCAAAACAACACTGAGGCTTCATGTCATACTCTGAAAAACTGACAAAATGGCACCAGTCAATGTTGGAGGGGTTTGGGAAGATGGGCATACTAATACCATGCTGATGGAGCTAGGAAATGGTATATTATGAAGATGTGAGTTCAAATCCAGAATTGGACACTTACTACCTATGTGACCTGGTTGGTCTGTTTGCCTCAGTTTCCTGAACTGTGAAATAAAGATAATAAGAATACCTACCATATGGAGTTGTTGTGAAGATGGTCAAAAGTGGATTTTGGAGAGAAAGTAAGTCACTCCATTGTGTCTTTGCTTTGAGCCTGATGGCTCTTTGACAAGAACTGTGTGTCTCCTTCAATACCCTCCTTTCTCTCACTGGAAAAAAAAATCTCTTTGAATAATTCCCCAAACTCAGCCCTTTCCCTATAAGGGAAGTACTAGGCCCCTCAAAAATGCCAATTAACAGCCAAAGAAGGTACTCTTTGCTTTGGCCTGCTCCAAACAGCTCTGCTAAGGGCCTTTGAACATGTGAATGTGACCCAGGAGCCAACTTAACCTTTTTTCTGGAGTTGCCATATTTTCCAGAAACACTGGGCCACAGTATGCAGTAGGCCAGAACACCCCCCAGCCCCAGCTCATAGTATTTGGTGCTTTCAACCCTCACTCCCCTCTCAGTGTGCCCTTGAAGGTCAAACCAGCTACAAGACAGGACCAGTCAGTGTACACCAGACAGATAAACTGTTTGTGCAGCTGGGACCCTGGAGGTTAAGCAGGGCATCCTGTCTTCAAGGTCTGGCAGGGACAGCTTGGCCAAAGAAGCAAAGGAGAGGGCAGCAGTTCTATGGATGTGTGGGGGAGGGGCGCTAGGCATGCATAAAGGCAGCAAAGACAAGACCCCTGCAGAAGAGAGAGGAATGAGTGGAGTGGTTGTCCTTGTGACACAGGGATCAAGAGGGAAAACTTCAAAACTGAACACAGGAGGGCAGCAACTGGGATGGGGGGGAGGGTAGTAGTTAGTGCTTGTGATGCCAAAATGCTGAGAATCAGTTCAAAACACAGAAGGGGAGAGCAGGCCAGTGTTGTTACTACTGTTTTCAATTCCCTGCCTATTTTTGTAGAGAAACAATCCATAGGTAGGGGATGGCCAGCCTTGTAGACAATCCTCTTTGTCTCTGGAAATGGCCTCTTTGGCTGATGTGGGTCAAGTCTGAGGGCAGAGTGCATCACCTGGGCTGGGGGTCTGCTGCTCCCAGGGGCCATCCCTCTGGCTGCAGGCTCCCTGCTGGGTCAGGCCTTGGTCCTCTGCACACTGAGCTGGGGAGGCTGAAGGATCCCAGAGAGGCAGAGGTCTTTCCCTGGCCTTCTTGGGACAGCAGGCTGGTGTACAGAGATTTACAGAGGGTAAAATCCTGCCCTCAGAGCAGGGACTGCAACCTACAGGAAAGGTGAGGCTTGGAAATGAGATGATCCCACCCTCTCCTAATTCCTTCTCTTCTGTCCCCTTCCCCTCCCCCATTCTCCTTCAGAGACCCAAGAGGCAGAAGGGGCTTGGGATCCCAGATGGGAGGAGACCAGGCAGAGCCTCAATGGCTCCTGAATCAGAGCTCTCCCTACAACTAGTCCTCTGCCCTCCCTGCCTCCCCCTCCCCAACTAACACACACACACACACACACACACACACACACATTATCTAAACAACAGACTGACTGCTTCACCTAGGAGGGAGGGAAGGTTGGGGATGGGAGGGCTCTGGGATGAAGCCACCAGGAATGACCAGGGGAAGCCTGAGGCCAGGAGACAAATCCAGTCTGAGATTCAGCCCCCTGGCAGGGGCCCTGAGGGCTCTGAAGGAAGAGGGGGCAGGGAAGCAGGAGGCCTGGGGAAAGAGAGCACAGGTAGGGGCTGGGAGGGAGACATTCTAACCCAGCTCATGGCAGGGAGGTCAGGGACACTGGAGTGACAGAAGGGCTCCAGGTGGACACAGCCTGGGAAAGCAGGATGGCTGTGTGCTGAGGTCTAACTAGGAGCTGGGGAGGATTCCTGGGCCCTCTAGTAGAGCTTAGGCTTGGAATCCCCAGGGGAGAGCTGACAGAGGGAGCCAGTGCCTGGGATCTGATAGCGAAGCAGCCAGGAGCTGGGGGTCCACCTAAGGGGGCCAGGCAGAAGCTTTGTTTCCTGCATCCAAAGTGGGTCCTCAGGGCAGGCAGAACTTTCAATCCTTACAGGGCCTTGGTTGGAAGGGAGAACAACTCAATCTCTAACCAAAAGTTGGGGGCAGGAATACAGGATTCCTGGGTCCCTGTGAGTAAGGTTTGAATTTTAGGAAAGGGTGACCGAATCTTAAATCTAAAGAGAGTGACTCTGAACATTTGGGAAGTGTTTGGGAGTCTGCAAAAGAGAGCAGCTGAAAGGTTTTCCAGTAGCCAGGCCTGGGTGGGAGGATTGCTCCAGGTGGACTTGAAGGGGGCTCACCACGTAGTCAGAGGAGGAGGATGAGATCCAATGGCCTTCAGAGGCAGCAGATCTGTGAGGGGCTGGCTCAGACCTCCTTGGGATCTGCCCCACAGAGCTGGTGTCCAGAAAGCAGAGATCTTAGGTCCAAGAGAAGGCAGCGGTGACCTCAGCTGTGAGGGAGGAAGGCAGGGAGATCCCAGACCTGAGGGTAGAAGGTGGAGAGATCTCAGCTCCAGGGAAGGAAAAAATAGTTCAGCTTCAAGGGAAGAAAGCAGAGAAATCTCAGCACAAGCTCCTGTTTTGAAACAGCTTACTCTGGGAGGGTCCTCCCCCAGGTTGGGCCCTTTCCTCCAATCACACCTAGGGCCAGCAGCTCCAGAACCTGCCTGCCTCTCCTCCCGAAGCCCTGCCCTCCGCCACCTGGAATGCCTTGGCCACTGGGATGAGCCCTCTCCTGCCCTAGACCCCTCCCAGGCCTCCAAACTCCACCCCAGGGCACTTATTCTACTTGGGCCCACTCCCATCAGGCTGGTCATCTCTGAGAGCTCCTCCTCCCCTATCCCACCATCACCTCTCTCCCTCTCTGTGTTTGCTCTGGGACTTGCCCCTCCTCCTTCTGAGCAAAAAGACTGCCTGGATGGAAACTTGGGGGCAGTCTAATTGAAAGTAGTGAGTGCTATACTTTGAGGCGCTTGAACCAAATGGTCTTTAGGAAAATTGGGATTTTATATGCCAGCTGCAACTGTAAATCCAGACTTGAGTTTCTCCTAATCTAAATTGTTATGTGGGCTCATTTAAAGTCAGCTATGTTCTCCCATTATGGTAATAGGGGTGTTTGACCCTCTACAAGTAGATCAGACCTTATGCAAAATACCCTTAGAATTTGGCATTAAGGTGACATGTTTAGGAGCTGTGAGAATAAGAGTTAAGTGTGACTGCATCAGAATTACTGTGTTCTCTCTGAATACAAGCAGTCTTGAGTGTCAAATGGACAGAAGGAGGAAGTGATTTTTCTAGGGAAGATAATTCACAAATTCTCAAATGCTTTGATGCCATTTCACATTTTCTTTCATGTTTCAAATCTGTAACCTTGTTTATGTTATTATTATGCTTCTAATTTTTCTCATCTTGGGATTTTTGGGAAACCATAGTATAAAATGCTAATTTCAAAAATGATTCCTAGAGGGTAATGCGATTGTATCCTTAGAAATTAACTCCTTGTGAGCAGAAACAGGAGAACATCGTACATGGTTAAAGCATGCTATGCAATGACCATCATTGATAAACTTAGATCTTCTCAGTAATTCAATGAACCAAGACAATTCCAAGGGGCTCATGATGGAAAATGCTATCCACATTCAAAGAAAGAACTATGGAGTTTGACTGCAGATTGAAGCATACTATTTGCTATTTTTTTCTCCTGTTTTCTTTTCTCTTTCTTGTGGTTCCTCCTATTGGTTCTAATTCTTCCTTACAACATCACCAATGTGAAAATATGTGTAATAGGAATGTATATGTATAGCCTATATCAGATTGCATGCTGTCTTGGGGAGGGAGACTGGGAAGGGAGGGAGGAGGGAGAAAAATTTCAAATTCAAAAGCTTATGGAAATGATTGTTGATAAATCAAAACTTAAAAAAAAGAGTTACAAGTGAAATTAAACAAAAAAAAAAGAAAATTAACCTCTCAAATCATAAATGTTGGAGAAGATATAAGAAAATTGGGACACTAACACATTGTTGGTGGAGTTGTGAACCAATCCAACCTTTCTGGAGAGCAATTTGGAGCTATGCCCAAAAGGCAATTAAACTGTGCATTCCCTTTGGTCTAACAATAGCACTCCTAGGTCTGTATCTCAAAGAGGTCATAAAAAAGAGAAAAGGATTCATGTGTGCAAAAATATTTCTAGCAGCTCTTTTTGTGGTGACCAAGAATTGGAAATTGGGGGAATGGCTGAAGAAGCTGTGGTATATGATTGTGATGGAATACTATTGTTCCATAAAAAATAGTGAGCAGGCAGACTTCAGAAAAACCTGGAAAGACTTGTATGGACTGATGCTCAGTGAAGTGAGCAGAACCAGGAGAACACCGTACACAGTAACAGTAACATTGTGAGATGGCCAACTGTGATAGACTTAGCTCTTCTGAGCAATGCATCTAAGACAATTCCAAAAGACTCTTGCCAAAAATGCTATCCACATCCACAAAAAGAACTGAATGAAGATTGAAGCATACAGTTTTCTCTTTTTTTGTTGTTGTTTTTCCTTTCTCATGGTTTTTGCCTTTTGTTCTGATTCTCCTTTCACAACATGACTAATGTAGAAATGTGTCTAATTTGATTGTTTGTATATAGACTACATCAGACTCCTTGCTGCCCTGGGGAGGAGGGAGAAGAAGAAAAATTTTGAACTCAAAATTTTACACAAGTGAATGTTTGAAACTATCTTACCATGTAATTGGAAAAAATAAAATATTATTAAGTTTAAAACAAGAAGCAGTCTAATTCTAAGACTGGCTGTCTGGGAACCACAAAGAGATATATGAGTTCTGTAGTTGATTTGCACTGCATGTAACAAATATGTAAAGAAGAATTTGCACCCCAAATTTTAAAACTACGCACCATTAAAAAAAAACCCTAAAGTTGAAAAAAGAAAGAAAAATAACCCCTCTTTTGATTTAGATGTTGTGAAATTATGAATTAATCTGTGAGAGAGGGTGGTTACAATGTGTAAACACTGGTAAGTATTTAATTGGGCTTCCTTTACTTTAACATGAATAAAAATAAAAACTTAACTCTTTGAGAAAAGTACAAAGGACCTTGTAAATTCTCCTTCTCTATAAAGTTTTGGGGGAACTTACCAAGTAAGGGCCTTGGGACCTTGTCTTTGGGCAAGGTCATCCAATCTTATCAGTCCTGAAGAAGCTCCTGAAAAAAGGGTGTCCCAATTCTGAAGGGACAGTGTGGCTTACTGAGTAACTGAGATCTCTCACAGCTGAAGTGAGGGTGGGGGTGGGGGGAGAGACCCAGTAGCAAGGCATGTAAGTAGAAGCCAGACACAGACAATGGCCTGGCTCAGCCCTACCTGGGACCTGCACCCACAGAGCTGGCTTCCAGGAGGCTGAGATCTCAGCTGCAGGGGAAGGAGGCTTTACACGTTTGGTTACAAGTTGTGGTTGTGGTTATTGTTACTATAGAGGCAATGTACCTCATGGACTGTCTGACCAGAGATTAGGAAAATGATAGAATCTCACTGCAATAATATGTATCCAAGTGACACCTTCAACCCCCTTAGTCTCAGCAGACCCCAGCCCTGATTCCCAATGGGCCTCCCTCCTTCCTTGAGTACAGCTGATGTTGTCAGATCTTGGGGTGCAGAAAAGAAGAGAATGCCTCCAATCCTCTGCAACTGGGACTGGACTCCATCAGTTAATTCAACAAGCATTTATCAACCAATCAACAAACATTTATTAAGCACTTACTATGTGTCAGCCAGTAGGCTAAGTGCTAAGGATACAAAGATTAAGTAGGAGCTCACATTCCAGTGGTTTAAGTCAACAAGTCAACAAGCATTTATTAAGCACCTACTGTAGTAGGAAATACTGGGCTCTGGAGCTCTCAGGAATGGAAAAAACCAAAAGAAAACAGGAGACAACTTGCAAACCACTAAATACACACACATACACATGCATGCCAACACACATATTTCCATATCTGTTTCTCAGGTAACAGCTTTTAGAAAGAAGCTTGTTGCATCCTCTGGCTGAAGTGAGAGCTGAAATAGGGGCCACTCCCAGAGCTTTTAGTAAGCTTTACATTCCACAGAGTTCAGACAGAGGAATAAGGGAACCAGCAGAGGGGCCAGCTGGGAGGCAGTTTCCAAATACAGCACTTACAGGGCCCTGAAAGGGCAGATCTCAGAAAGTTCCTGGCCTCCCCTCTGGACCTCTCCCTCCCCTGAAGGTGTCTGGGGTCAGGGGGACCTGCATGTCCTGACTGAGCCACAGATCTAGTGTCAAAGCTTCAAACAGATCCAGGCTCTAAGCCACACAAGAGGAGGTTCAAACTACACAATTTTCCCAGGGGTTCTAAATATTCTTCAAGGAGAAAATGTCCACAAAGGCTTCTGCCACCCTGAAAGCCTCCTCCTAGAGGCAGGCCGGCTCCCAGGCTTTCCCCAGATCCAGAGGCTGTGTTTTCCACCAACGCCCCAGAAATGAGGCAAGGCCAAAGTGGGGAATTTGCAGTGTCAGAAAGAGCTTGGAGCCAAAGCCTCCCCACCGAGATCTTTCCAAGGCTCTTCTCCCCTGAGATCTGTCTGATGGGCCAAAGCCAAAGGCTGGTTCAACCCTCTCCCACATCCATTAAACACACGGAGAATTCCATCAGCTCTAAGTTATCTGACCCAGACCCATGTCTGTGCCCCAGCTGAGGCCTTCTCCTCTTCCCTCCTTTGCAGGTTTTCTTGGAGCATTTTGTCTATACCAGCAGGGAGACCAACCCTCTCCCTCCCTCCAGGCTGGATCCTCTCTTGTGACAAAGAAAACAACTAAGGCAGGGAGTCCAGCCCCCGGCACACGGCACACGGGCTGGTGCGGATGACCTTCTACCCCGGGAGGCCCCTTTTCTCCAGAACACCATGTCCTGTCGGCCTCAGTTTCCTCCTCTGTAAAGTGGGCATTTCCTGGGCTGGTTCTGAGGAGCAAATGACCTACCACATGGAAAGCCTTTGTAGCCCTTCAAAGGAGCCCCTCAAGGGGAACTCTCAGCGTTGCTTGTGTTGGACATTCAGGCCCTTTTTATGCCCCCTCGGGGACCCTGGACGTGAGCCCCCTAAGCTTTAAGCGGTGGGTCCCTGGGGTGTCAGGGACCAAGGGCCATGGTGAACATAAAGCCCTAACCATCTCTTTGTTGAGGCTGCAGGGCCAGGACTGAGCCAAGGCCAGTGAGAGCTCTGAGCCCGCCGCCCCGCCTCCTGGCCCCGCCCTCTCCCGCCCGCTCTTCCCCCCTCTGGTCCCTCCCCATCTCCTAGGTCCCGCCCCCACGATCAATGGTGAAGGCCCGGCCTCGCCTTGACTGTAGCCAATTGGAATAAGCGGTGGACCCCACGTGTGCCTCGACCCGCCCATCCGAGGAGAACACTGGCCCGAGCTTCAGTACGGACTACATTTCCCAGAATGCTGATGGCCATAACCGGAAGCGGCCTTCCCTGGAAATTCCCGGAGCGGTCCCGCCCCTCGGCCCTGTCCCAGGCTTTGGAGAAGCTCGCCGGAAGCTCTAGGACTGCTTGGCGCAGGCGCACTTTCACCCGGGGCCCCGATCGCCCTGGAGATGGGAGTTGTTAGAAGAGCCGTGGGGGCGGGGCGCGAGGGGGGGCGTGTCCCTGTTGTGGGTGTGAGCTGCTGGGTCCCCGCGAAGGTGGGAGGGGAGAGGACCCGGGGCGGAGCCTGGCTGGGCCGGGCTCCCTCTTCCTGCCCCACGTGGAACAAAGCTCTGCCCGCGCTCTGTCCTTGCCGGTCCCAGGTAGGTCGGCCCCAGCAGCCGTGCCTCGTGCCGGCTACCCTGCCTTCCGGGCTCCCTCCCTCCCCCCTGCTCCCCTCCTCTCTCTCCTCTTCTTCCTCCGCCCTGGTGCTCAGCGACCCCGCTTCCCGCTCCCCAGCACCTCCATGCTGCCGGGCTCTTCCCCCTCTGCAGGTTTACCGTTGGGGCTCATTTTGCCTTGGGGACCCAGGAGCCCTGCCTCCAGCACCCCGCAGGCTCTAGGGGTTCTGGGTCCCTGATCCCGCCCGCCTTTAGAGGTTGAGTTGTTCTCCCTTCCAACCCCCCGATAATGATCCAGAGTTCTGCCTGCCCTGAGGACCCAGCTTTGGATGCAGGACCCCCAGCTACTGCCTGGCCCCTCTGGTATAGACCCCCAGCTCCTGGGCTGCTTCCTTGTCAGATTCCAGGCACTAGCTCCCTGTGTCAGCTCTTCCTGGAATATTCCAAGCCTTACCTCTATCAGGGGGTCCCAGGAGTCCTCCCCAGCTCCCAGTTAGACCTCAGCACACAGGCATCCTGCGTTCCCAGGCTCGGTGTCCACCTGGAGCCCTCCTGTCTCTCCAGTGTCCCTGACCTCTGCCGGGAGCTGGGTTAGAATGTCTCCCAGCCCCTACCTGTGCTCTCTTCCCCCAGGCCTCCTGCTTCCCTGCCCCCTCTTCCAACAAAGCCCTCAGGGGGGTGAATCTCGGACTGGATTTCTCTCCCAGCCTCAGGCTGACCCTTGCCATTCCTGGTGGCTCCATTGCAGAGCCCTCCCCATCAGTCTGTTCTCTAGATAATGCGTGCGTGTGTGTGTCTGTGTGTCTGTGTTGGTTGGGGAGAGGGGAGGCAGGGCAGAGTACAAATTGTAGGGAGAGCTCTGATTCAGGAGCCATTGTGACTCTGTCTGGTTTCATCCCATCTGGGATACCAAGCCCCTTCTGCCTCCTGGGTCTCTGAAAGAGAATGGGGCAGGAGAGGGGAACAGAAGACAAGGAATAGGAGAGGTTGGGATCATCTCATTTCCAAGCCTGACCCTTCCTGTGGGCTGCATTCTCAGTCCCTCACCCCTGTAAATCCCTGCAGGCCAGCCTCCTACCCTGGGATCCTTCTCCCTCCCCAGCTCAGTGGGCAGAGGATCAAGGCCTGACCTAGCAGGGAGCCTGGAGCCAGAGGGAATGGCCCCTCGGAACCACAGACCCCCAGCCCAGGTGAGTGCACTCTACCCTCAGACTTGACCCATAGCAGCCAAGGAGGCCATTTCCAGAAACAAAGAGGATTGTCTAGGAGGCTGGCCATCCCTACCTATGGATTGTTTCTTTGTGAAAATATGCAGGAAATTCAAAACAGTAGTACTACCTGTTGTGAGACATGGCCTAAAGTGCAGTTTCCTCAGGTCTAAGCCCTGAGTTGAGTTTCACCTTTCTCAAAAATCCATGTCAGCACAGGCCACTCCCGCTTCCTGGGGAACCCATACAGCTAGTTCCCAAATATGGGTATGTTTGCTTCTATGGGCATTAGTTGCCGGATTTTGATGGTATGCATTGAGTACCCAGCCAATGGAGGAAAGAGGTGAGAGTGGGAGGGGGCATGGGTTAGGGCTATAAAACTTTGCTTCTCACAGCCAGCTGCCAACTCCCTGGCTGCCCCTACTTGAGCAGCCGCAAGGGCTGTGCCCTTTCTCCTGAGAAAGAATAAAGACCTTTTCTGATCTCTGATTCAGACTCCACACTCTTGATTTCAGTGGTCACTGTCCCAAACACTGTCAACCATTTCCCAAAGGTTTGGTCCAAAGAAACAAACAGAATCAGTTTCCCCCTTAACTGAAGGTTTATCCCAAGAACAAACAGGATCAGGCTGCTTATCTGTTCTCATTAAGCCAGACAATTCTGTGTGATGGAGTCAGAAAATCATTCTGAACTCTGAGTAAACAAGCTGAAGGAGACCCTTGATACAGGAGTACTTCCCTTGTTTGAGAGGATATAGGGAAAGGGCTGAGTTGGGGGAACTTTTCAAAGGCCTGGGAGTTTTCTTTTCACCTCAGTGTTGTTTTGGTTTACATTTCTCTTATTAGTTAGTGGTTTGGAGCATTTTTTATTTGTAATTTTTTTTTAAAATTTTAAATACATACAAAATAAGGAAAGAAAAAAGCATTGACATGTGCACAGCAGAACATGAGAGAGGATTCAAAATATACAGCAATAAATTTCCATTTCAAAAAAGCCTATGTGGTAAATACTACTCATTGTGTTCAGAGCTGTCTATCTTTTTTTTTTGCTGTCTTGTAAGTTTTCTTTTCTTCTCTGCTGTGCACTTTTGACATGCTTCTTTTTTTCCTCCTTCCCCACATGTCCCTGCCCCCCAGTCTTTGCCTCAGGCTAAAATTAAGTGTATATATATATATATATATATATATGTTTTGATATATAAATTTCCTCCCAACTGCTACATTGGGTGCATCCCATGAATGTTGTTAGGTTGTCTCCTTGTTGTCATTCTCTTTAAATTATTAATTATTTCTATAATTTGGTCTTGGATGCATTTATTCCTTAGGATTAGAAGAATAAATTTCCAATTAATTTTATCTCTCTCTTTTCACTGCCCTTTGTTGAATGTACTTTATATTGTGTTATGATCTGAATAGGATGCATTTTGTATTTGTACTTCTCTACATTTGATTGTGATGTTTTTATGCTCTAATCCATGGGCAGTTTTTCTGTGATTGCCATGTACTACTGAAAAAAACATATTCCTTTCTATTCTCATTCAGTTTTCTCCAAAGTCTAGTAATCTAACTTTTCTAAATTTTATTTACCTCCTTAACTTCTTTCTTGTTTATTTTTTATTTTTTTAGATTTGTCTGGTTCTGAGAGGGGAAGGTTGAGGTTCCTCACTAGTACAGTTTTATTGACTATTTCCTCCTGTAATTCGTTTAAGTTTTCTTTTCAAAACTTAGACGCTATACCCTTTGGTCAATATATGTTTAGTATTGGTATCATTTCACTGTGGCACCTTTCAGCCACAAATGGAAGACGTTCAGTTTCCTGGTTTATCTAGCTAAAACTTTTTGTTTTAGCTTCTCAGGAAATAAACTACATCTTCTCTTTTTCTTTCCTCTCTTATCAATAATCCTACATAAATCCTCCCAGCCATCACAGAATACACTGCACTTGACAGCTTCCAAAAACTCTTCACGATTTTTTTAATAATGTATTCCTTCTATCAGTTCTTAGAAGGCAGAAATTTCAGATCATCTTCTGTCTGTCTCTTCCACAGAACCTCCTACCTCACAGATAAAACACATACTTTGTCCTAGGTTCCATGGGGAGACATTCCATAGTAAGACTTTCCTCAACTTTATTCCAACTGACACTCCTCAAGGGTAACACCTTTGGGTAATCCCCCATGCCTGTGCCTCAGTTTCCTCTTCTTATGTGATCAGGGTTAGACTACAGGAATCCTGGAGTCTCTTTCAGCTCTAAATCTTGTGACTTTTGATGGTTTAGGAGCTGGTGACATTCCAGGATGTGGCTGTGGACTTCACCCAGGAGGAGTGGGGCCTCTTGGACCATCCTCAGAAGGAGTTGTACAAGGAGGTCATGCTGGAGAATGCCCAGAACCTGGTCTCCCTGGGTAAGAACACTTTCCCTGGCCACTCTGAGTCTGCAATCCAAGGGAACGTCTTCATTCCTTAGTGGGCTGGGTTTGGAGCATTTAATAATTACTAAAAGGGAAAAGTGCTGGTCTTGTGTATCCAAGAGACAGGGTCCCCTGCTGCCTGGTTTTCGTATAAAAGGTCAGTACACTGTGTGAAGAGAACCTGGAGGTTTCCTGGTTGCTCCTGAAGCTGTCTCTTACCAAGTCTAGGTAGCTTGAGGTCAAAGATCAGATCAGTGTTGAAGCATCTCAGGTGTGGAAGTAATCCCACATTATGTAGTTGAACCTCTCCCTGGACATGAATTTTGTCTGCCAAGTCTCTGGAAAGTGCCCGGGCCACTTTTCCTTGTGACCCCTTCCTCTTTGGGATGGCCCTACTGTATGGAACATTCTTCTTCAGAAGCCTCAACTTATAGCTCACATCCCCTATATATGCCTGCTATGGCAGGTTTGTCTTGAATCTTCCTTTCCAGTGCCCCCATTCCAGTAGAGATGGTGGGAAAGACAGGAAGGGAATAAGCCTTTCTATTCACCTGCTGTCCACCAGCTGTTGTGCTAAGTGCTTTCTTTACAATATTAGGTCTTTATGTGATATTGTTATCCCCATTTGACATTTCAGTAACCTGAAGCAAACAGAGTTAAGTGACTTTTGCAGAGACACACACCTAGTAACTGCCTGAGGCTGGATTTAAACCCTGGCATCTCTGACTCCAGCCCCAGGGCTCTCTCCACGGCACTCCCAGCTGTGTCTACTTTCCAGATAATTATTACTATGCAGTGAGTCTATCCTTCTATGAAGCAGGTGCACCAGGACTAAATTTTTTGATTCCTTATTGGCTCCACGATCTTCTTCCCCACCTCTCCCCAAAGCTCCCAAAAGTAAATGCTGTGGACACTTGGTTAAGGGGTCCTGGGAACCATTCTGTGCTCCTTGTTTGCAAGCCCCTGTCAATGCCGATAACAGACTGGCCAAGAGTCAGAATTTTTACTAATTAAGGTTCATTGAGTTCCCCAGCAGGAGAATCTCAGCAGAAGAGGCAAACACTCCCTGAATGAACAGTAACTATGTGTTTATAGGTTTCAGGCAGTGAGGCGGAGGGTGGGGAACAGGGCAAAAGCTGGTTCCTCCAGGCTGATTGGGCAGATCCTATTTTGGGTTACTTGCATTACAGGCATTGATGGGAGAATAAGCCAGATATGTGCAAATGTGATGGAGTGATTCTCAAAATGCAGTAGCTTTGTATGCACACTTTTCCCTAAAGGAAGCTAAATTACTAGTATTTCTCTACCCTCATCCCTGATTCCCCATGCCCAGGGCTGCCAGTTCCCAGAGAAGATTTGATGTCTTATTTTGAGGAAAAGGAAGCACCATGGCTCCTGGAGCATGAAGGCCTAAGGAGCTGTTATCCAGGTGAGTGAGGTGAAAGCGGGTGGATGAGAGCTGTGATTCCAAGAGTCTTCTAGGTGTGGTGGTGAAGCAAGTGCTAGAGTTGGGGACAGGAAAACCTGACCTGGAATTCTTTTTTAGACACTTCTTAGCAGTGGGATCCTGTACAAGTAAAGGAACCAGTGAGCCTCAGTTTCCCCATGTATATAACTGGGGAGTTGGGACACTTTAAGCTTTCTACCAGCGATAAATCTGTGATTCTATGAAAGCTCATTGTTTAGAATTTAGAGGCAGGGGCTCTTTTGAAAATGCAAAAAGGTGTTAGACTTTCCAATTTGAGATCTTTTTTAGACTTTCTTCAAGTTAATGAACATTTATTAAGTGCCAGCTATGTGCGAGACCCACAGTTAAGAATCCAAGATATAAGGAGATGCAAGGAACATCCCTCTTCTCTGGAGTTCAGAAACTTGGGAAGGGGGGAGGTTGGGGCAGATGACATACCAACAACCATGTAGAATTCTTCTATGGAGAGGAGCTCATTGAGTAGGGTCACTGGAAAGGCGTATTGTGGAAGGTGGGCTCTGGCTGGGGCTTCGGGAAGCCAGGGTGAGCATTCTGGGCACAGGGATGGTGAGGAAAGCCTGTGGAGTCAGGTGATGGAGTGTCCTGTTCACAGAAGAGAAGAATATAGCATGTTTGGTGGAGATATAAGGTGAAAGAAGACTGGAAGAGTGGGAGAGGGGTAGGTAAAGAAGGGGTAGGTGATTATCAGCCTTAGAGGGGATTTTATATTTGATCCTTTTCCTAGAGAGATATAGCAGGGTGTTGTGAACATGGTGACATGGTCAGTCAAAACTTTAGGAAGATGAAGTGGGTGGAGGAATGCCTGGAGTCGGGGGAGACTTGAGGCATCTGGGCCAAGCAACAGGTTCTGGCAGTACCTCAGGTGTGAGGTAATTGGAGCCTGAACCAAGACAGCAGCAGTGTTGGTAGAGATGGGGGTGAATGGGAGAGATGTTACCTAGGTGGAATCAGAGGACTTTTCAGTAGATTGAATATGGGGGTCAGGAGTGTGAATGTGTGAGAGTCAGTGAGGAGTGCATGACACCTCATTTGTGAATCAGCATTATTGAGAGGATGCCTTGTACAGCCTTAGGCAAGCAGGAAGAGGGGATGGGTGAGGGAAAAAGAATGAGTTTAGGTTGGACACAGTAGGATAACCAGGAGAGGAGTGTCACTAAAAGTGGGGGAGAGAGAGAGAGAGGGAGGGAGGGAGGGAGAGAGAGAGAGAGAGAGAGAGAGAGAGAGAGAGCGAGTGGAAAGGGTGATTGTGTGAAAGGCTGCAGAAAAGTCAAAAAAAGGGTGAGGATGAAGTAATGACCAGTTGATTTAGCAACTTTTGAGAGTTTTGCCAATTTTGGAGAGAAGTTTCCATTGAAGAATGAAACTGGGAGATAGAGTGCAGAATATTTCAGAGAAAGCAAAAGGAAGGAGTTGGACACAGCAGTTGTAAATGGGCATATCCAGCTGTTTAGTGATGACATGGAAGAAAGATATTAGAAAATATCTCTTGGATTGAATGGATCAAGAGATTGTATTTGGAGGATTAGAGAGAATAGGTATTATTTGTGGCAATAAGGAAGGAGACATTAGTGTTGAAGAGACTGGAAAATAGTGAAAAAAAGACGATGGTGGAGAGGCAGTATACCTGGAAGATGGTGTGATGGAATGGGATGATTTACACATGGAAAGGAGTTTCTTTTAGGAAGCAGAAGGAGGATGCTTTTCTCTGATAGTGGTGTCATAAAGGAGAAAAAGGCACTTGATTCATGGGAGATGAAGATAAGATAGCACTTGTTAAGTATCCAATTTTTTCAATGAAATAGAAGGCAAATTTCCTTGTTGAGTAGGTGAGTGGTGGGTGTAGAGAGTGGGAGCAAGAACTAAGGGAGGGTTGTGGAAGAATAAAACGAATTAAAAAAGCTGCTGTGGTGAATGAAAGAGGGAGTCAGTCATGTGATTGTTCAGTCATTTCAGTCGTTTCTGACTCTTCATGACCCAGTTTGGGGTTTTCTTGATAAAGATACTGGAGTGGTTTGCCATTTCCTTTTCAAGCTCATTTCATACATGAGTTAACTGAGGGCAGAAGGCCTGAGTGACTTGCCCAGGGTCACACAGCTAGTAAGTGTCTGTGGCTGGATTTGAACTCAAGACTTCCTGACCAGTACTCTATCCACTGCACCATGTAGCTGCCCAAGGGAGTCAGTTAGGAGATGTCAAAGGATGGCCTTGCCACTGTGAGGGCCACACTAAGATTATGTAGCCTGAATGTGAAGTGGATCCAGGAATCCTGGGTCTAGTATCTAAATAGTCACAAAGTAGAATTAGCCCAAGGCTATGGTTTACATAAACCATCAACCTGTGTCACTCCCCTGGTCTCTGAGGCTCAATATTTGGCCAATTCTTGGTGAATCATTGAGTTGACAGTCACTCTCAGTTTAGGGTAGTGGCAAGTGGAAACTCCCAGGAGTCTAGGAAGAAGTCTGTGTGATTTTCACTGTAGGTCTGCTCAGTTTGCAACATGGTTAGAACTAGACAAAACGGCCACTCAGTATAGCAGATAAAGTACAGAAAAGAGGCAGAAACAGGCCTGAAACCAGAACCTGCATTTGCCAACTAAGAGAGAGACCAGAATACAGTGCTTGAGATAGAGCCTGGGGCCTGGTGTCAGCCCTGGGCCGAGTCATCAGTCAGTAAGCATGGATGAAGCACCTGCACTTTTCTACACAGCTCGTTAAGCTGTAGGAAAGGGAAAAGCCAGTCCCTGTTGTCAAGGAGCTGCAAACATGGCCTGCAAACATGGAAGTGTTTGAGAAGAAGCAACAGATGAGGAGCCTCACTCTTAGCTGGTTCTGGTAAATGAGAGTGTTTGGGAATGGAGATACATGTAAATCAATGGGATATGAGGCACTCAAGGAGTGTGGCTAGTAACAGTTTAAGGAGGAGACTCAAATTGAGGAGGAAAGAGTCAAAGTCAAAACAAGAATGAGAAAAATTTCAGGCACACCTCAGTGACATTCTAGGTTCGGTTCTAATGGACCACAGTAAAGTGAATATTGCAATCAATTAAGTCACATGAATTTTGCAGTTTCTCAGTGTATATAAAAGTTATATTTCTATATACTGTTGTCTATTATGTGTGCAATACTGTTGTCTAAAATGTACATACTGGGGGCAGGTAGGTGGTGCAGTGGATAGAGCAACAGTCCTGAAGTCAGGAGGACCTGAGTTTAAATCTGGCCTCAGACCAAACACTTGACATTTACTAGCTGTGTGTAACTGGGAAAGTCACTGAACCGCAATTGCCAAAAAATAATAATAATAAAAATGTATGTACTGAAACTTAAAAATGCTTCATTGCAAATAAAAGCTATCTGTCATCTGAGCCTTTAGTGAATCATAATCTTGTTGCTGATGGTGACTCTAGACAGGTGTTGATGGCTGCTGACTGATCAGGATGGGGGTTGCTCACAGTTGGCAGTAGCTGCAGCAATTTCTCAAAACCAGGCTACAGTGAAGTTTGCCACATTGATTGACTCTTCTTTTCACTTCAACTTAAAGTCCATTGTAGGGTTATTAACTGGCCTAATTTGAGTACTTTTGTATCTCAGGGAATAGGAAGACCTGAAGAGAGAACAAGTCAACATACAATAATAAAATATTTTTTCTTAAAAAAAAACAACAAAGAAAAGTGGAATAGAGAAAGGCCATCTAGTATGGTTGACAGAGCATGCCCACTTACAGGTTGTGTGTTCTATCCTCTGTTACACAGACTTTGGGCAGGTCACCCAGCCATTCTGAGCTCCTGGCCTGAGCTGTTAATGTAGTGAGAATGCTGGGTCTGCCAGTGTCATAGGGCTTTGTGAGGATCCAGTGTGATTGTGTGTGAAGCTCTTTGTAAATGAAGCATCCCTCAGATGTGAACTACTGCAATTTTCAAATGACTGATGCTGACTTTGAACTTTGTAGAGTTTTGTCTCAGCCTGGGGAAGTAGGATGTATATCCTGGTTTCTCGGTTGTTTATTTTCTGGCAATGGAGGGAAGGAATTTTAATTTTATGTGTGTACACGTGTCTTTATATATGTTCTATTGTTTCTTGCAGAAGGAGAGATTAGATCTGAAATGAAAGAAACTACTGCAAAGTTAAGCATTTCTGTGAAAGAGACTCAACAGGAAAGTTTCATGATGGATGGTCCTTGTGACTTCAGTGGGAGACAAATCTGTGCTGCATTTTACAGGATCCACAGAAGAGGAAAACGTTATGATTGTCATCATTGTGGGAAAGTATTGAGTCAACAGTCATCCTTTATTTACCATCAAAAAATTAATCCTGGAGTGAAACCACATGAGTGTCATGAATGTGGTAAAGCTTTTAATGAATACTCATCCTTCATTATACATCAGAAAATTCACATTGGCAGGACACCTTATGCATGTAATCAGTGTGGAAAGGCTTTCACAAAGAGTTCCAGCCTTATTATACATCAGAGAATTCACACTGGAGAGAAGCCTTATGAATGTAATAAGTGTGGAAAGGCTTTCAGGCGTAAAAGTGATCTTACTCTACATCAGAGAAAACACACTGGAGAGAAACCTTATGAATGTAATCAGTGTGGAAAGGCTTTCACACAGAATTCCCACCTTATTATACACAGAGAATTCACACTGGAGAGAAACCTTATGAATGTAATCACTGTGGAAAAGCTTTCACACAGAGCTACAACCTTATTCAACATCAAAGACTCCACACTGGAGAGAAACCTTATGAATGTAATCAGTGTGGAAAGGCTTTCAGGTGTAAAAATAATCTTACTCTACATCAGAGAAAACACACTGGAGAGAAACATTATGAATGTAATCAATGTGGAAAGGCTTTCACACAGAATTTCCACCGTATTATACATCAGAGAATTCACACTGGAGAGAAACCTTATGAGTGTAATCAGTGTGGAAAGGCTTTCACACGGAACTCCAAACTTACTCAACATCAAAGACTGCATACTGGAGAGAAACCTTATGAATGTAATCAGTGTGGAAAGGCTTTCACACAGAGGTACACACTTACAAAACATCAAAGACTACATACTGGAGAGAAACCTTATGAATGTAATCAGTGTGGAAAGGCTTTCACACAGAGCTACAACCTTATTCAACATCAAAGACTCCACACTGGAGAGAAACCTTATGAATGTAATCAGTGTGGAAAGACTTTCACACAGAACTCCAAACTTACTCAACATCAAAGACTCCACACTGGAGAGAAACCTTATGAATGTGATCAGTGTGGAAAGGCTTTCAGGCGTAAAAGTGATCTTACTCTACATCACAGAAAACACACTGGAGAGAAACCTTATGAATGTAATCAGTGTGGGAAGGCTTTCAGGTGTAAAAGTGATCTTACTCCACATCAGAGAATGCACACTGGAGAGAAACCTTATAAATGTAATCAGTGTGGAAAGGCATTCACACTCAATTCCCACCTTATTATACATCAGAGAATTCATACTGGAGAGAAACCTTATGAATGTAATCAGTGTGGAAAGGCTTTCACACAGAGCTACCACCTTATTCAACATCAAAGACTCCACACTGGAGAGAAACCTTATGAATGTAATAAGTGTGAAAAGACTTTCACACAGAGCTCCAATCTTATTAACCATCAGAGAATTCACACTGCAGAGAAACCTTATGAATGTAATCAGTGTGGAAAGGCTTTCACACATAGCTCTAACCTTATTCAACATCAAAGACTCCATAGTGGCCAGAAACCTTATGAATGCAATGGTATATAGAGCTTGTTAGAATCCAGAAAATTCGTCTTAGGAACAAGCCCTCCAAGGACTCATCGTGGGAATGCCTTCAGCAGAGATCTCCTGTTCCTTTACATCACGGATTCATGGTGGAGAGAAGACTTATGAACGTGCTTAATGAGGACCTGCCTTTGTTGGAAGATGCAGGTCACTCAACATCACAATATTCACACTGGAAGCAATCCTTATAAAAGCAATAATTGTGGGAAGGTCTTCACCTTGAGCTCATACGTGTTTGTATATTGGAGAAATCTTCCTGGAGGTAAATCTTATCGATATGATTAATGACAGAAGACTTTTGCCTGCTGCACAGACTTCATGGGACATCACAAATCTCTTATCTCTCCTTGCTATTTTCTGGAATTCTGCATTCATTTGGGTATATCTTTTCCCTTTTCCTTTCCTTCTTTCCTTAGCTCTTTGTAAGGCCGTATGAGACAGCCATTTTGCTTTCTTGCTCTTCCTTTTCTTTGAAATATTTTTTGTTGCTGCTTTCTGTACAGTATTGCAAACCTCTGTCCACAATTCTTCAGGCACTCTATCAGATCTAATCCCTAAATCTATTCATCATTTCTACTTCATATCGGTAAGCAATGTTGTTTAGGGCATAGCTGTAGGGTCTGATGGCTTTCCTTATTTTCTTTGATTTGAGTCTGAATTTTGCAATTAGAACCTCAGGTTCTGAGCCTCAGCTCCACGGCATGTTTTGACTGACTGTATAGAACTTCACCTCATCTGCCTTTTTTCCCTAGAAAATGTGTTCATTTTTCGTAGAACTGAGCAGCTTTGGGTACTTTGGAATTAGTCATTGGGAGATAGACTTGTTAGTGTGACGTTGAATGGTTTGCTTTAGATTTCAACAGTATTTGATTATACCTTGATAAAGTCTTGCTGAAGATAAACTTTATGGATCTAATTAACAAGATTAGGTCTCTTGTTCAAGACCTCCTTAGGTTTCCCAGTAGGAGACCTCATTAAACATCCAAAATTACTTACTGTGAATAAACCCCTACAAATGTCATGGCTTTCCTCCCTGAAATCCTGATGTTTCCCATTGCTCTACGATAATATTCCTTTGAATTCCTGTACTGTAGTTTATTTAGCTATTCAACAATTGATGGTTACTCACTTGATATCTTGTTTGTTGGCACAAAAAGTTGTGGTATAAATATTTTGGTAACTGACTGCAATCCCTCTAGAGTGTTACAATTGTAGCTGGGCAAAGTGATTTTCTATGTAAAATAATTTGGAAAATATATTCAACTGAATTGTCATTTGATTGGAAAGTAGTTTTTGTTTAAATCTGTTTTGTCAGAACAATAAGATTTGTTTAAAATCTGTAACATTGCTTTTGTTATAATTTGCTTCAAAGTTTTCTTTCATTTTGATTTTTGGAAATTATCTGACAACCAAAGTCGTTAATTTTTAAAATGATACCTAGAGGGTGATACAATTGTACTGTTAAGAAATCAACTTCTCTTGATCTGGACACTGTGAAATGATGAATTAAATTGTTAGAGAATGTGGTTATAGTGTTTTAAAAGTGCTTTTAGTTCATTGAATAGATTTGGCTTTGAAAAGAACAATCAGAATAACTTACTGTTTGGGAAAAGTAGAACAGACTTAAAAGTTCTGCTCATCCTGGAAGTTCTTAGGGGACCAGCCAAGTGCTTTGGGACCTTCTTTTAGGACCAGTTCATAAAGTCTTGTCAGCCCTGGGAGAGAAGTTGCTTAAATATGACGTTGCCTAATTCTAAAGTAATGAAGTGCTTTACTGAGTCATTAAGACGTCTAGGAGGGAAAGTCGGGTTGAGGGAGGGGAAACTTACAAGTTTGTTTCTCATATATGAGTTTTATTAGAATGTATTTGGCTATTGGTTACAAAACTGATGAAATTTCACCTAGAGTAAAGTGTTTGGCAGTTATGTTTTTGACCAAGCTCTGGCTTAACAGATTCCAGCTTGGATTCAAAGTATTGCCCCTTCCTTGTGTAGATTAATATTGTTAGATCTTGGAATGCAGAAAATAAGAGAATGGCTCCAATCCCCATGACTGGGGACTCACTCATGGCACTTCAACAAGCAATGATTATGTGCTAAGTGCTGGGGTGCAAAGCAAGGTGATGCAGCCCCTGCCCTCAAGGAGCTCACATTCCAAAGGGTTTTGGTCAAGTAATTAAGTCAACAAGCTTTTGTTAACATCTGGTTTGGTCTAAGCAACTAGTAGGCTCTTGGAATTCCAAGAATAAATAAGGAAAATTGGAGGCAATTTGCAGACAACTTCATATAGATACATACATACATACTTACTAGGAGATCTAATGGATAGAGTACACAGGAAGACCTGAGATCAAATCTGGTCTCAGACAGTAGCTAGTTTGCCTCAGTTTTTTCAACTGTAAAATGGACTTAATGGGGCCCACGTATCAGGATTGTTGGGATCTGATGAGTTAATGTTTGTGAAGTGCTTGTGGCTGGCACAAAGCAGGCACTTTTAAAAGTTTCTTTCCTTATTTCCTAAATGCAAGGTAAATTGCAGGAAATCACACAGAGACAGTGGACCAAGGAAGGCTTCTTGAAGGAAGCCAGTGAAACAACGAGTCTGAGACAAGGAGGGACAGCTTTGAAGGCATGGTGGGGAGGGGCAGTGGTGGAAACCAGTGAACATGCAGTGTCAATGGGGGCATCTCCACCATGGCAGAGTAAAGGCAGGGAGTCACCTGAACTCTCCCCTAAATCCTTACAAATACCTCTAAAAAGATTACTCTAAACAAATACTAGAGTAGCAGAACCCGCAAAAAGATGGAGTGAAAAAAATTTCTCACCCAAGAGAACCTGGAAAGTCGACAGGAAAGGTCTGTTGCACCAGACTGAGAGAGTCACACAGGCCAGGCTAACACAGAGCACACCCCAGCAATCCTGGAGCAGGCCTCAGGGTGCCTGAATTAGACGTTTCCAGACCTGTCAGCCCACAGATGCCAAAGACAACTTAGAAAGTCAGCAGGAAAGGTCTGTCACATCTGGGTCAGCATGAGTGCAGCACAGCCCTGGCCACAGCAAAGTAGGAGCAGGTGTTGAGAGGGAGTGAATCAGCAGGGGTAGTGGCAGTGGCTGCTTCTTGAATTCTCAGCCTACAGACAGTAAGGGGGGTGGAATAACTGGTCAGAAGGAGATGACAGGGTTCTCTTTACTAGCACTGGGGCAGGACTGTGTTGCTTTGCCCACACTTGCTTCTGGATTGGAATCCCAGGTGAGGATGAGCACTAGCATAAACAGAGCTTGAATCTACAATGGAGAAGACACCCACCTCATGGTTCCAAGAAAGAAGAGTGCTTGTGGTCACTCACAAACCAGAGTATAGGCCAGGAGAGTAGTAAACTCCTCCCCTTAGATCGTACCACCTTGGAAGAACCCAAAATTCACAGGTCCCTAGAAGTATCTCTGAAAAGAGCTGCACAAAAGCCCTGAAACTTTGGACAGTATACCTTCCACACTGGAAGCAGAGCCACACCTTAAAGAGGTAAAAAGTCAAGAAATAGGCTGAGAAAATGAACAATTAGTGGGGGAAAAGATTCTGACCACAGAAACTTACTTTGATGACAAAGAAGATCAAAACACTCAACAAAGTCAAAGGTCCTACATCCAAAGCCTCCAGAAAAATATGAATTAAGTCCTCAGTGCAGGGTCCTTGACTTCCTACAAGACAGAGCCTTTTAGTGCACCAACTAAGAAATCTCAAGGCAGCCTTTCTAGTCCACCAGATACTGACTCTGATGTAGGCTCATGCCTCCTGCCACTTCCCGTGTTTCCCTTTGTGGTCACAGGCACATATTATCATCTTTATGTGTTCAGTTTCCCAACAACTTCCTATGGAAAATCAAGGGAAGTGGGTCATGGTTGCTGTGAGCGACTTTGAAGAGCAAGAGTCCTTTGGAGAAACTTCATCCAGGTGTCACCATGGTGAGACCTCCAAATCAGGAGTGCAGCAGAGTTGCTCAATCTCATCTTGTTCAATCTTTCCTTGTCTCCTTTGCCTCCAGGGAAGTAGTAGAAAGCCAGCATTGCATCATGGTTGGATTTAAGCCTACAGATGTGCCTGCAACAGCCACCATAAACTTTGTTGGGGACTGGCACCGCTGCCTGCATCACTGACCTCATTACCTTCCCCCTGGACACAGCCAAAGTCCGGCTGCAGATTCGGGGAGAGAGCTAGGGAGCTATCTGAAGCTTCCTCTGCTACTGCCCAGCATGGGGTGTCATAGGCACCATTCTCACCATGGTGAAGACTGAAGGTCCTGGCTCTGGCAACCTGTACAATGACTTTTGCCTCTGTCTTCATTGGCCTCTATGTCTCTGTCAAGCAGTTCTACACGAAGGAATCTGAGCATGCAGGCATTGGGAGCCACCTCCTGGCAGGCTGCATCACAGGAGCACTGGCAGTGGGTATACCCCAACTCACAGATGTGACAAAGGTACATTTCCAGGCCCAGGCTCATGCAGGTGGCAGCCAGAGATACCAAGGCATAATGGATGCCTATGAAGCTATCACCTGAGTGGACGGACTTTTGGGCCTATAGAATGTAACATCACCCAGTATTGCTTGCAATGCTATTGTCAGATGTGCTGAGCTGGTGATCTATGATCTTATCAAAGGTGCCCTCCTGAAGGCCCATGTCATGACTGATGACCTTCCATGCTACTTCCCATCAGCCTTTGGGGCTGGCTTCTGCACCACCATCATTGCTTCGCCGTGCATGTGGTGAAGATGAGATACATGAACTCTGCCGTGGCCAGTATGCCAGTACTGGCCAGTGTGCCCTCACCATGCCTCAGAAGGAGGGACCCCAAGCCTTCTACAAAGGGTTGATACCTTCCTCTGCTTGGGCCTCTGGAATGTAGTGATGTTTGTCTCCTATGAGCAACTGAAATGGCCCTGATGGCTGCTCACACTTCCTGGGAAGTTCCTTCCTGAGCCCTCTCGTGCTAGCTATCTGCCTTATACCCTTCCCCTTTGAGTCCAGACCCCATCCTGCCTCTCCTCTGCCATTTCCCCCCTATTCCTCTCCTCCCCTGTCTTAGTTTTCAAGGAGCCTCCTACAAATTCCCCCCCCCCCACTTAGAGTTAGTGCCATTTAAACCTTCTCCAGCCCACTTCTCTGCCCATTGCATCCTCACTCAATCCTTAAGCTCCTTAGTCCTAATAAAGCCAGACCAGAACCCTCTCCCCCCTCCAAAAAAAGAAAAATATGAATTGGTCTCAAGCCATGGAAAAGCTCAAAAAGGATTTTGAAATCAAGGAAGAGAGATAGAGGTAAAATTAGGAAGGGAAATGAGTGATGGAGAGAATCATGAAAAATGAATCAACAGCTTGGTAAAGGAGACCCCAACAAATACTGAAGAAAATAACACTTTAAAAATAGACTAGAACAAATGGCAAAAGAGGTCCAAAAGCCAGTGAGGAGAAGAATGCTTTAAAAAGCAGAATTACACCAGATGAAAAAGGAGGTCAAAAGA